CGAGCCGAGGCCTCTGCCGACCAATGCTCGCTTGCTGGGGGGCGGAAAGCAGCGGCTCCAGGCGGCGCGAGGGCGGAGGTTGGAGCGGAGAGACCAGATGAGGAGGAGGAGGAGAAGAAGAAGAAGGAGAAGAAAACTGGTGCTGCCTCCGCCGGGCCCTTCATCGTCCCGGCCTTGCCGGGCAGATGCATCCCAGGTGGGAGGACTCTAAACGTGAAGGGTTGTTTTTTTTTTTGGTACCCTGAACCAAAAAAATACTATTTATTCACATATTTTATTTATTCAGTACTATTTATTCACATGATTCTATTCAAACATAGATAATCTCACCAGGGGTGAAGGGTGTATGTGGGCACCCTTGCACATTTGTATGTATATTAAAAAATCCAGTGAACTCCTATGCTAGTTAATTAGGGCAGGGTTTGTCTTAGCTCAGGAATCTGTCCCCAGTACTGCCTGAGTTGACCTTGAGGTATGGGATGCTCTAAGGTAGAGGAATGGCTCTTGCAGCAGGTCCAGAGTGGTCTTAGTGAATAATCATGTCTTGTGGAGTATGTGATGATTCCAAAGTTCACCAAAGCTGGTCTATGCCTGGGAATGAAAAGATACATATCATTTTATCTGCCGGTCACAGATGTTACTTTGTAGGTAATTTAGGTTTTGGGAAGATGAAACTAATTCTTGATTGAAAGGGATGTCACACACTTCTCCCTTGAATTGCATAGGTTGTATAGTCCCCCCCCCCCATCAATCAGTCAGTCAACAAATAGTACATACTTGTTTAATTGCTTTGCATCTATTAGTCTCCAGGAAATGGCCTGAGAAAGATGGGTCTCAGACTTACCAAGACCTTGATTTTGACCATGTGGCAGCCCCCAGTCTGATGGTGGTGGCTTGGGCAACCCACTCCTCTCCGTATGGTGGCTGGGGAGGGTACTACAGCATGCTGGGAGGCGGAAGTGGGTTGAGGGAGGTCTTTGTGTGCATGTGCTAATCAATGGTTTATGCTTTGTGGTTGCATTTTTGGGGCATAAGAGTTATACAAGGATTTTGAACTACATGGGTGGTCTGCCACCCCTAACCCCACTGTTGCTGAAGGGAGTAGTGTATTATAGACTTTATAGTACTGCGTGAGCTGATTTATTGCATTCAGTTATAAGCCAACATGTATGTAATACTTGTAGATTTTGAGTAAACAAGAAAAATGCTCAGATTTTATTGGAATGTCATGCAAAGTAGAGTGGAAGGTGTTTTGCTGAAAATGGTATGTAAATTGATAATGATAAGAAAATGGGCAAAATAATGTATATTTAGAAGAAGAAAATTCACAGTACAGTACTGTACTATGATCTTGTTCTTCCTATTGGCCCATTTCTACAGTTTGGTTTTAACACTTTCTAGTCCGTATCAAGGGATACAGTTTTTTCTCAGTAATGGTCCATAATGGGGATGCAGTGTCAAGGCGCTGTACTTAGAAAATTCATAATTCCCTTTGCCAGCTTCATATCTTATTTGCAAGTAAGCCTGTTCCACATATTTGTGCATTATGCTGAAGATGCCTGGTTGGGTAACGTTTTAAGGATGATAATGTTTTGACTGTGAGATGTCACACATGAGTGTTGCCCCTTTGTCAAGAATGTTGTGCAGAATCACTCATATAGGTCAATATGTCAAAAGTTTTTCTAGGCATATGTCCTTTCTATAATAGTAGTTATCCACTCATTCCACACACCTCTGTGTATCCATATGCGCAGAATTGTGATGTGGTCCAGAAGGAGGAGATGGAATTTAAAGTCAAATAAGAAATCATTAAAAAAAACTTTCATTCAGATAGACTGTAGGTGGAACACGGCTGAAATATTAATGATCTTAGAACTGCAGAGCTGGAAGGGACCATATGGCTCATTGAGTCTAACCCTTGTCCTGCAACATACTGTAATTTTTATAGGGTCAAAAATAAGTCATGATATGCCACTATAAGGGGGACATGGTGGAGCTGCAGGTTAAACTGCAGAAGCCTCTGTGTTGCAAGGTCAGAAGACCAGAAGTCGTAAGACTGAATCCATGCGACTGAGTGAACTCCTGTCGCTTGTCCCAGCTCCTGCCATCCTAGCAGTTCGAAAGCATGTAAATGCAAGTAGATAAATAGGGACCACTTTGGTGGGAAGGTAAACAGCGTTCCGGGTCTAAGTCACACTGGCCACATGACCACGGAAACTGTCTTTGGACAAACACTGGCTCTATGGCTTGGAGACAGGGATGAGCACTACACCCTAGAGTTGGACACGACTGGACTAAATGTCAAGGGAAACCTTTACCTTTATCACTGTAGGAGTTTCTTTATCCTAGCATGACAGCTAAATATGCATACATCTTACCTCATCATCGATGGACCCAACTTTGGTAATATTGATACTTGTGCCTGTAGATAGGGATCTTTTCTCTTTTCCTCATTTTCATGGCATTTCTAAATTAGCTCTTTGATCCTGACATGTGTATTTGAAAACATTATATGGTACAATATGCCATTGAGTTAAAGTGGTTTACTCACTATTATACTGTGAATTCCCTCTTCTAGTATGAAAGAAGTTTGCCTGCCTCTCATCCAGTGTCAGATATTAAGTAGTGAGTCTTATTAGGTATTAACCTTGGATGAAAGCTTCATCCAAACCTATACCTTTCAGTGAAACCTAGTAGTAGTAAATTAGTCTTGTTTGTATATTCAGTTGGTGAAAACTGTGACTTATAGATGTGATAAGTTTCATACTTTTGTTAGAAAGTTGCAGATAACTGTTGTGTCCTGCTGAGAATGTATGCGGCCAGGGAACTTTTGTAGCTAACAGCAAAGTTCTTTATTTGGTCAACAGCTGCAGGATGTGTTTTAATGTTATTTTACAGCATTTAAAGGAAGGATAAATATTTGCCTCTTCCCACTACTTCTGTTAAGATCTTTTTTCCAAACTACCTTCTGTGGTTACAATATTTGCTCTGTTTTAGGCACACCACGTTTTTACTGTTTCATTGCAATGTATTGTGTGCATGATCCTGTTATATAATTTACCCAGCATGTTTTCTTCTTCAATCAACATGGCTGTTGTGTGGCTGGAGGTTTTTAATAGAATTAAGTTCAGTGTGCAAAAAGGTGGGAAGAGGGAAAATATTAAATGACTGAAATTTTGTTTCTTAGCATAAATAGGTTGCAACTAGAGTAGGCCCATTGAATAAGTAGATATCGACATGCCATATCCCCACCGATTCAATGGACCTGCTCTAGCTGCAACTTGCTGTGCTGAGTAGATTGGTTTCAGCCATTGTATGCATGTGTTAGGTGATATTTAGAGCTCTTTACCTTGATTGGTAGTTTAATCAACAGAAACATAGTTGATTGGGGACAATTTTAATTCCTGGCTGTATGAGTGAATGCCTAGTAGCTTCTTAATATTTTGATTCTGATCCCCTGCGATAATAGAAGACGAGAAAGGAGGAAAAAAGGTGGAGACCCTTTCTTTCTTGCAGATTCTAAATGGTGTTCTTAAAATAAATTTAAGTCTTCACGTGGAATTATATACTTCAGTTTCACATGTATTATATGTACGTGATAGGATAAAAGACATCATGTGGAAATTTTTAAGGTTTGACTTCTAAAAAAAAACCCTCTCAATTTGCAGCAGTTGGAATTTAAGGGGAAATCACAGTAACATGGCCAAAAACCCATACTTTGTGTTTGGGGAAATTAAAGAACAAGCTGGTGAGTTGCTGGTTGCAGGCAAAGACCTTTCTCTTTAGGCAGGCTTTCCCTGAGTGACCAGCTGTCAAGTGGGTTTTTTTAAATTGATTGTTGTACCTTACTGTTTTGAATGTATTTTGGTGTCACTTATGTTTTTGTATGGTATTTCTTTGATCCTTTTTAGTACTGTATTTGTATATTCACTGTTGTAAACTTTAATATTGTCTAATATTCTCTTTTAATGATGTAAACTGCCTTGGGTTCTTTTAAGGAGAGAGGTGGGATAAAATACTGTATTAATATATATTAAAAAAGGATGGGATGACTGGCTCTTTTTGAAAGTGTTGACTAAAGTTAGTACAGTGAATGATAAGACATATAGTTGGTCTTCGATCACTGCTCTTTTGCTTAGTTTTACAGTGCCTAAAATACCACATTTTGTACTGAATTTATAATAACTGCATGGATAGTTGCTTTTCTATTTAAAATCTGTGACATGCTGATAATTCAGTTAAAATGTAAATAGTTACAAAATTATTGCCAATAAATCTGCCTTAAGGACATTGTTTATCAGAAATCACAAGTTAAGTTTGTAATGCTAGCAGTGCAACCCTGTGCATCATTACTCAAATTGTGTTGAATGGGGTTTTGGCCCCTAGTAAGCGAGTTTTAACATTACAGTATTGAAAAAGTATGTAACTCATGAATAATTTACATATTTTGGAATAGTTGTGTTACATTTTTTTTTATTCCATACTCAATTCCTCCATAAACTAAATGTTTATACTTAGCTTGCCATACGTACAGCAATACTCTGAAAGTGTAAAGAAAACACATAATTACAGACTGTGAAATCTGGGATCAGTTTCTGATTAAAGGAACATTTTATTACTTGCTCTAATCCTGTAGGGTATAGTTTGTAGGATCCTTAAGATTGTGACACCTAGGTGTAGAAGTATCTAGTGTTCTGTTTACATAAGCAGTATGAGGCAAGTGCCTTCCTTTTTCCATGTAAGGACTGAATATGTATATTAGGGGCAAAACTGCTTCAAATGATGGGCAGACTTGATAATTTACTTTGCTAAAATGTATCTCCCGTGCTTTAAAACATTTCCTTTTGTCTAGGATGAATGAATTAAGCCTGAGCCCCGTAGGGATGGAACAGTTGACAGCATCCTCTGTGAGCAATGCTCTGAGTGTTACAGGAAACCACATAGGCTTGACATCTTCACCAACACACAATGCCATACCAGCACCAGGTAATATAGCAAGTGGACTGTGTCCATGTGATCTTTTTATGCCTCTTAAAATGGAACAAGGAATTTAAATACCTGAGCTCTGATTTAAGAGAAATTGGAGGGCTTATATTCTTTGGTGCAAAAGAAACCTTTCCTGCTGTGTTTCTTTCTTGCATGTTGGGGCAGTGCCCAGCTTCCGAAGTTTGGCATTTGAGACTCCTGGGTATAATTCATTACATTTTCAGGAAAATGGGTACTGTTCAAATACAGTATTTTCACCACAAAAAGATTCAGTTTAATAACGTAATTTCTCCCCTGCCCCAAAAGTGTGCTCTTGTTTCCTATAACGTTACTTAATGCATGTTTTTCACAGTCTCCTTGCTCAGATTGACTCTGTTTCCAGCAGTCTGCTAGTCATTGACACTTCCATTATCTTAAAATGTTCCTTTTCAGAGAGGTAAGGCCTTGTCTTGATCTGTGCGTAGTTGCAAAGGGACAATAGGCTTGCACTCTAAAGCAACAAGCATCAGTTAAGAAAATGTTTGGATACAGTTGTGGAGACATTAATCCGGATTCAAAGAGTTTCCAACATTGTAAGATGTCAAGAAAGAAGTCCAGGGATGACTTCAGTCAGAATTAGAAAATAGGACTGATTCGTTGTTTTATTTCTCATTTCATATATTGTTAACATGTGCTGGAGACGCATATCTGGTGTGAGAATTAGTTTTTGCTTAAGCTATGTATTAGACAGAGTAATAGAGGAGGCAGAAAAATAAACCTAAATATAGAAAACTAAACCTATATAGAAGTTTGATCTATAGCATGTTTTAAATTATAAGTACCATGTAGGACCTTTTTAATGTAGGACCTTTTCATTAGAAACAAGAACTTTGATGACCTCCTCTTTTCTTTCCTCATTACATGCTTGTTTTACTATATTCCCCATACAGTATGTTTTCCCTTTATTAGCTTTATACTAATCAACATTTCACTGTGTTTTTGTTTTGTTTTTGTTAGGATTACCTGTTGCAATTCCTAATCTGGGACCCTCCTTACCCTCTGCTCTGTCTCTGATGCTTCCAATGGGCATTGGGGATCGAGGGGTGATGTGTGGCATACCAGAAAGAAATTATACCCTACCTCCACCGCCTTATCCTCACATAGAGAGCAGCTATTTCAGACACATTCTACCTGGTGAGTAGTGTAGTATGACTCTTCTGGTGAGTAGTGTGGCATAACTCTTGATAGTTAGTGCAAGTATGTATAAAATAACTAACTAACTAACTTCCATGTTGGTTATAGCAGAACCTATTTGAGAAGCAGATGCATGATGTTGTACAAGAAATTGCCCAAGGATGCATTAATGAATAATAAAGGGAATGATATCAGTGTTGTCTTGTTTGGAAAGCCCTTGTGTACTAGTTATCAGGGTATATATTTTAGGGGGAATCTAAAACTGGACAAAATAGGGCTCTCTGAAGTTTCCAGTGCTGTTTGTATTGTTGTTTAGCTATTTGTTGTTAAAAACATCCTTATTCCAGAATTCTGGTAAGACACCTTCCATTCTTTATTCTGTAGGTCAAGAAATCTTGAAATTGGATAGGATTATTGTGCATAAGGTTTGCTTGCTTGTGGGGGAACAATCATTGTCTTGGTCTGTCTTTAAAGAGGCTTTTTAGAACAGTAAGTTATTGATTGCAATAATTTGTCCCGTTTGAAATTGCTGTGTACAAAACCAAACGGCTGTGCCTCTCATTTTCTCACTCTCTTTTCTCTCTTTTTTAGGACTCTTATCTTATTTAGCTGATAGACCTCCACCTCAGTATGTCCACCACAACAATATAAACGTTGACAGTAATCCATCTTTGTCTGTCTCCAACAACCCTTCAGGCCTTGATCCCTACCAGCCCAATGGAACAGTGGGTCTTGAAGCAAGCATTGTTTCCATGGATTCCCGCTCAGTGAATGCACACAGTACCCAAAACTTGCACCCCAGTGACAGCCATGAGGTAGCTCTAGATACAGCCATCACCATGGAAAACGTTTCAAGGGTCCCCAGTCCAATCTCTACTGATAGGATGGCCGAGGAACTTACAATGGGTGATGTACCTGGGGATCATTCACAGATTGCAAATGGCAGCCGTAATCATGAGCCTATGACTGTGGATGCTGTGGGCAGCAGTTTAGCCACAGACGCTGTAGGGCATAATGGCGTCATCCCTCTTCACAGTAGCAGTTTGGAACTTCCAGTTGTAATGGAGCCTGACCATATTTCCGGCCGTGTCAGTGGGTTATCTGACAGAACACTTGGGGACTCTATTCACACAGTGGCCATGAGCAGCAATTCTGTGAGTGTTGCACTTTCTACCTCACACAACCTCACATCCCTGGAATCTGTCTCATTACATGAAGTGGGCCTCAGTCTGGAGCCAGTCACTGTGTCCTCCATAAGCCAGGAAGTAGCCATGGGACAAAATCACGTGGATGTCTCCTCTGACAGTCTTACATTTGTGCCATCATCACTGCAACTGGAAGACTCCAATTCAAACAAGGAGAATATGGCCACCCTGTTTACCATATGTGAGTGTGTCCCAGGGTGGGTTTGACTTAGCTTCTGGCTAGAAATTGGATTGCAGCCACTTTGAAGAAAAGCCTTTGCTTCTTGCAGTAAGCTTAGTTTATTGTGGATGCGGTGGTTAAATCTGTATGAACCATGAAAGAAATATTCTGGTAATGGAATTATTCGGGTGCCAGAAGATGGCAGAACTGATACGTGTAGATGTATAGTAAACAGTTAAAGACGTTTGATATGTAAGTTTTGTTTTTTCATACCAGTGCACTTCCTGTTTTTACAGCATAAAATAAGTCTTCCCCCTGCCCCCATTCTGGCTGAATAGAGATCACAGTCTGGAAGTTATGACTTACTAGTAGCATAGTTACTTTTGAAGAGTTACTTTGCTTTTTAATATTAAAAAACAAATAGAAAAGGTGATATTAAGTTGTATTTTAGAAGTAACAGTGAGCAAGAATGAAGTTGCTTTATTGATGCAACAAGTCCCTTTTTCTGGTCATTTAAAAAATCATTTTTAGAGGCATTTAGGCAGAACATTTTCTAAGTGAGATTTTCTCTGACATTCTCACTCTCTGTAACAAGAGTATGGAGCAACATGAGTGACTTACTGAGTTTGGGTTTTTTTCACACTAATGAGTAACAGCAATTAATTAGTTTTTAAACAGTATAGCAGAAATTTATTTTAAAAAAGTAACTTTCTAAGCTCTGTTAGAGACATATCTGCAAAGAGTCTCATTCAGCTATGTCTTTCACTCCCCAATACCTACATATATTGGATATGAAGTGAAATCAAGTCAGTTCTTCCTCTTTGCTTTCCTGAATATCATTGTTGAATGATCTTATTCCTGTTTTTCAGTTGCTTTGTATGCTTATAAATATCATGCTATACTTACCATCATTCACAAGAGACTAGTTGCTTTGTATGCTTATAAATATGCTATACTTACCATCATTCACAAGAGACACACATTTAATGCCAGTTCTCTTGGTTGCACTTGCTGGCCCAAAGATGGGGGAAAGGTAGCTTGTTCTTCCATTGCCCTTTTCCTCAGTCAGTACATCCAGCCATTCACTTGGAAACTGAAAGGAAAGGCATTCTGAGAGATAACCAAGGTTATGTGTCTATCTGTCAGCAACTGTGCATTCACTACATGCTGTCCACCAGTATTAGTGGTGCATTTTGATTAGTAGCGATAAAATTATCAATCACTTGTTTCATGTTTCTCTGTTTCTGCTGTGTTTAGATACAGTCCTCTAAGAATGGTGTGCTGGATATTTCCCTAGGAAAGTATACTGCTGTGAGTTATGCCTGATGCACAATACTTAGGACCAGCTTAGTTTTAAACGGACAACCAAGAGCCATTAATTTTACAAACAACCCACTCTTGACAGAGATTAAGATGCCAGTACTGTTTTTTTTGTTATGAACAAGATGGTTGCCCGCAGTTTTGGACTCTGTGATTGGACGTGCTTTGTTTTTGCTCTGCATCTTTTATGTGTACTTGCAACGTTGTAATTTTGCCTTTGGTAATACAAAGAAGCATCTCTTTGATGATGTTTCTGCCTTTCCCCCCATTTGCAGGGTGCACACTGTGTGACAAGGCCTACCCATCAGATTGCCCAGACCATGGACCTGTGACCTTTATTTCAGACACCCCAATAGAGAGTCGAGCCAGGCTGTCTCTCCCAAAACAGCTTGTTATCCGCCAGTCTATCATGGGAGCTGAAGTTGGTAAGGATCTAGTTAATTGTGAATTTTTTAACTAAAGCAGACTGGGTAGGGAAGGGTAGAGGTCACAAGCAAAGTGATAGGTAGCTGTATGAAATGATAATGCAATTATCATTTGAAAAGAAAATGGATCTGGACAAAAGGTAGACCTTGCATGAGAATCTGTTTTTCTGATCAACAAATAATGGTTAAATACTAATTATTACTTAATAACATGGAGAAGCAATAGTGTAGCTCAACCAATCTTTGCACGCTCATATAGAGAACAATTAATATAGCCAGAAAATTGATAATATTAAATATTTCCATAAAATTAAAGAGCCACAGAAACTCCTTCAGTAAAGTAATTTTTCTGTTTTAGAGGTGGTGATAATAATTGGAAGAGCAAGATTCTAGCAGCAGTTTTGTTTGGCTCCTACTATAATGAAGCAAATTTGTAGTTACTATTATTCTCTAGCATACTTGAAGTCTGCAAAGAAACTTCACAAGTAGACAGTCATCTTAGTTGTCTTTTTTAATTATTTGCCTGAGGAAGAGTTCCTGGAACTCAGCAATTTCCACAGTATTTTGTTACCTTTCAATTGGCTTAAGTAAAGGTATTACACTAATGAGAGTTTTGTTGTATTTGTTTCAGATAGGCAGTATTTTTAATTATCAGCCTGTCTTGGGTCTTGTTTGAATGTGGCCCCTAGCTATGCTTCAGCCATGAATGCAAAGACCCATAATTTGTGAAACTATACAACTAACTCACAGAAAAATCATTGTGTATTCAGTTTTTATTGGTATTTAAAAATAGTTAATCCGAGTTCTGTGACATTATACTTAATTGTGTTTTTCTGTTAGTCTCTTTTATTTAGCTAAAACAGTGAATTTTTTTTCTTGCCTTATGAAGGAAAGGCTTTATGAAATGCAGATATAGATTGTGGTAAGAGGAAACTTTAATGTAGAAAAGTTAACCATGAGATTTCTGTTCATAAAGGTCTCAAAAGCCTTTAAAGCCAGTGGTCCATAAACTCTCATATTAAGATAATTCTCTTTGTAGTGATTTACTTGCTGTAGAACTGTTGTCTAATTCCTGCATATTACAGAAGACTCATGGGTATATTCTAAGAATCCATGGTTTGTGTGTGTCACTAACCAGACATGGATTTTACTTTTTCTCTACTTGAATTAAGAGTGTTTACCTAGAAAATACCTAACATGTTCTTCATTTGTATCTTTGTCTGCTGGGGATGGGGTGGGGGAACGGGCTCAGTAGAGGTAAGTAAGTTGTCCAACAAAGAGTTATTATTGAGTTACTTGGTTGAATACTAGATCCAGGGAAAACAGCTTGAAACCATTATCCTCTAAGGTAATAATGCAATTAACAACCTCTCCAGAGATGATTTTTTTTTGTATGGTGACTGGAAGACTTACATGTTTATGGTTCTAGGGACGGTGGTTCTTTCAACTGCACAAAAAAATTGACGGCTGGAGAGTTGTGGTGCATTCTTGTCCCCAGTAACCTCTTGGAGAGTTTCAGGTACCTGAAACCATCTCAGTTCCTAGCTATGTTCTCTCTTGCGTCTACGGTTTCTGAAATAAGCATTTTCTGTTTTTGCAGGCTGCATCATGCAATCTTTAATGAGCATGGGAGATCAGGACCTAAGTTTCAGAACTCACCTAAAAGTAAATGGTTTGATTATTAGAGGAAAAATTAATCTAAGCAGTGACTACAATTGAGCTTCTTCCCTCAAGTGTTACGTGATGTAGTTTCTGTGACTAGCCCATTCGGTAGAAGCTTTCTTTGCGTGATGCTTAGCAGTAGCCCTCGGAGCACTTTAATATAAGTACTACATTTGCTATTGTCATTGTTCTTATAATTCAGTAGATGTAGTCAGTGGGATTTTATTTGTTTTTGTTTTTAAACTGATGGTAGGTGTATGGACTCGAGAAACCATTCCTGTGCGTACTTGTTTTGGACCGCTTCTTGGACAACAGAGTCACTCTATGGAAGTAGCTGATTGGACAGACAAATCAGCCAATCACATATGGAAGGTCAGTTTGTTTTGTCATGTTTTCCTTTTCATGATTAATCCTATGCAAAACAATAGCTGGGATTTGGCTTTTCCTCCTCTCGTTAATTTTTTTTTAAAAAAAGATAGCACTACTGATAGTTTTCCTGATATTTCATATACATTTCATTCTGTCTCTTAATGTCTGATGAAGTGGACATGCCTGCAAAAGCTTACATTAAAATATAATGGTTAGTCTTTAGGTGCCACGTTTTTGTCTTTTTGTTTTGTTTCTTTGGATTTTGCTTGAGAGCACTACACTTGTTAGTGTGAGGAAAAGTGTTCAGGATGGCAGTGCTCAGTCAGAATATAAATTAGTAAAAAAATGTGCTGCCTGGTAGATGTTAGATGATTATCTATTGATCCCACTGTTGGGAAGAAAAAAATGTTCTTCTTTTCGAAGTGCACAGGATTGTTTGAACTCCATACCAAAAATAAGATTTCTCACGATGGCTTTCACAGCAGCAGCTCTTCTTCTTTCCTCAGGGAACCTCAGAGACTGAAATCCTCTTGGGGAGCTCTAGCCCCTTTCAAAGATTTGAATTGTGGCAGCTTGGAAATGTTAGTAAATGGAGGGATGTACCTTGCTGGAGAGGCAGCAGCTCTAACAAACAAACAGGGGCTTGTGGTGTAATATCTTCATGCTCTTTTCTTTTCTTTTCTTTTCTTTTCTTTTCTTTTCTTTTCTTTTCTTTTCTTTTCTTTTCTTTTCTTTTCTTTTCTTTTCTTTTCTTTTCTTTTCTTTTCTTTTCTTTTCTTTTCTTTTCTTTTCTTTTCTTTTCTTTTCTTTTCTTTTCTTTTCTTTTCTTTTCTTTTCTTTTCTTCCGACCTCGGAAGGATGGAAGGCTGAGTCAACCTTGAGCCGGCTACCTGGGATTTGAACCCCAGGTCGTGAGCACAGTTTTAGCTGCAGTACAGCGATTTAACCACTGTGCCACGAGGCTCATTATATGGCTCTTTAGATTGGTTCGGGCCATTGCTACTGTGCTCATGGGACTTGCCAGAGAGAAAGGGGGGGGGTCCTATCACCATGAATAAGAAAGCCAGCTCTTACCTCATGTAGCTGCTGAGATATTTCCTCTAAGAAAATGTTAATTGATCTTTTGTCTTACTTATCTCCTGTCAGATGTACCACAACAATGTCCTGGAGTTCTGCATCATCACAACTGATGAAAATGAATGTAACTGGATGATGTTTGTACGGAAAGCCAGGTGAAGTTTTCCTGTTTCTTTAGCTGCTGGAATCCCAAGTATAGTTTCAGAGGATTCTTTATAAAGATATTGTCATGCTTCTACCACACCTTTTTCTTATAAAACTGCACTGGCTATTCAGTGCCTTCAGGGCAGAATTCAAAGTGTGGATGTGGAGATTTAAAGCACTAAATCATTTAAATCTAAGGTATATGGAGAAACACATCCTTCTCTTGTGTTCCGGTTATACCTTACAATCTTCAGGAAAGGCCCTGTTTGAGATAACCTTCGGGGAGCTCCTGACAAAGCGCTCCTTTCTGGAATCAACTCTTTTAATAATAGGAGCTTACCTGACTAGCTTAAGTCATTTAAGAGAGCATTTGAGACGTTTGATACCAGAATGTTTAAAATTAGATTTTAAATTATGGACAGTTCTCTATTTTTAACAAGGGTCATTATTTTAAGGTTTTATTATTTGTACTGTTCTTTCGTAGAGATTTCCAGAGAGGTGTTGATATTAAAATAACAAAGAGTCTTTGCCACCTTAAACATCTCCATGGGATGCTTCCTGATAACTGTTAAATATCCCTTAACAACTATTGTTAATATCATCACTTTACTAGTATAACCATACATGTTGGTGATTCAAGAAGCAGATATTTCTGTCTTGTCTAAACTTGATGATTCTGATGGAGATAATTTTTTTCAGTTTTAATTTAATTATGAGCTCTGCTAACTCATGCATAGTGGGTACTGAACAGCATCTTCAGTAGATTGTAGTGGACAGAATTTACTTTACTATTAATGTTTGAAGAATGCACCTGTGCCTCTCTGCAGTTGTATGCGAGAGAGAAAGGCCAGTTGAGATTCAGAATTTCTCCTTTAATCCTGACTTGTTTAAAAAAACTGTTTATGACCTAGGACAGTTGCTCAGATATGGGCAGTTGTAATTTCACAACAGAGGCAGGATGGTGGTGTCTATGGATGGAAGAAGCTTGAGATGCCTTTCAGTTCATTGCCCATCCATTTTTCCTCTTTGGAATGTACCTTGAAGAAAGAGAAAAGTTGAGAGAAACTGAATATATTAAATAATTATATATTTCAGAAAAGTAAACATGTCCATGATAACTAGAAAAGTAGCATTTGTTATAGTTGATTTTTAATTGCCTTTTGCTTAGGATATGTTATATGCTGGTGTTGCAATTTAACTATGATTGTATAAAGTTTTAATGGATTTCCCCCTATGTGTGGGACAGGAATCGGGAAGAACAGAATTTGGTTGCCTACCCTCATGATGGAAAGGTTTACTTCTGCACCTCCCGTGATATCCCTCCAGACCATGAGCTGCTTTTTTACTATAGTCGAGATTATGCCCAGCAGATGGGTAAGTAGTTTGACAAGCTTGGTATTAATGTAACTTCTAGTACTTTGTTCTATATTTCTTTTCAGGTCTTTGACTGAATGGATTTAATTCATCCTGTTCCATTTTCTTTTTATGAATTTGATGTTTTAACTGCATATAATGGCCAATTTGCACATTATTGCTTTTGCAGTAAGCTTCAGTCCATTCTGTATTGTGAACCTATTTCACAGATGTAAGTTTGTAGAGTTTTCCGTGCATTTTAAAAATCAGGATTATTTGGATGGTATTGTTCACATCCATATTACAATTTTAGTTCCTGTTTTTCATTGCATCATAAAAATCAGTGCTCCTCCAACATGCCCATTTAATACTATTAGATGAATAATGTAATAGTATTAAATGGGCATGTAATGAATCATGTGAGTCTTGATCCTAACCTGTGCTGGTTAGATCTTCTGGGAGTTGCAAAACATGAACACCTGGTATGCCAAGTTTGGGAATTACTGGTGCAAGATACTTTACTCAGTCCTTTGGAATAAGGATTGCTTTCCTGCAATCTAAAGGCTATGCATTTTGCAGTTCATTGTACTGAATTAAGTGAAGAATGACTTACAAGTAATACAATACAATAGTAAAGTAAATTCTGTCCACTACATTCTACTGCTGAAGATGCTGTTCAGTATCCACTATGCATGTGTTAGCAGAGCTTGTAATTCAATGAAGTTTCTTACAAGCAAGAAAACATTTGTTTTGAGAATTGTAGTGGTTCCAAGTAGAAGATTTGGTTTTGTGTTAAAGGTGTTCCTGAGCATCCTGATGTGCACACTTGTCACTGCGGAAAAGAATGTGCTTCCTACACTGAGTTCAAGGTGCATCTGAGTAGTCACATCCATAGCCACTTCTCCAGTCAGGGGCACAGCACCAGCCATGGACCAGGCCACAGTAAGGAAAGAAAATGGAAATGTTCCATGTGTCCTCAAGCTTTCATCTCTCCTTCCAAGCTTCATGTTCACTTCATGGGGCACATGGGGATGAAGCCACACAAGTGTGATTTCTGTAGCAAAGCCTTCAGTGACCCCAGTAATCTCCGTACACACCTCAAAATTCATACAGGTAAGTGTAGACAAGAGGGAAGTTTCAAGTTACCTTTCCAAAGTTCCATTTGTGACCTAGTAAATGAGTTGATTGTTGCACAAACCTACCTTGTTTGTTCATTTGTAAAATAGAGGACTTGTCATCTAGGTAATTTATGACTTGCACTAAGTGAAACATTAAAGCTTTAAAACCCAATTGCATATGGATTTTAATTGGAATCACTGAGTTAATCTCAGCTACTATGTTACCTTCCCCTTGCCACACTCCCAGTACTAAAGTACAGTGGTGCCTCGCTTAACGATTACCTTGTTAAACGACGAAACCGCTATATGATGACTGTTTTGTGATCGCTTTTGCGATCGCAAAACAATGTTTTAACAAGCAAAATTCACTTCCCGATGATCGGTTCCCTGCTTCAGGAACCGATTCTTTGCTAGAAGACGTTTTTAAAACAGCTGATTGGCGGCTTAAAAATGGCTGCCCACTGTGTAAAATGGCTCCTCGCTGTGTTTTTGGACGGATTCCTTACTTTACAGGCACCGAAAACGGCTGCCCCTATGGAGGATCTTCGCTGGATGATGAGTTATTCAGCCCATTGGAATGCATTGAACGGGTTTTCAATGCGTTTCAATGTGATTTTTTATTTTGCTTAACGAGGATTTCGCTCTACAGTGATGTTGCTGGAACGGATTATCCTTGTTAAGCGAGGCACCACTATATAGATTTTTAATCTGGCTCCAGGCATTAGGGTATGCTGTGTGTTGTACCCTACTGTCTTGTTTAAATAGGCTGTACAGAATGGAAGGAGCATAGAACTGTGTTTCCTTCACACTATTCTCCTTGAATCCTTTACACAGAGCATGTCTGAACCACAGCTTTGTACCTGGATACAGCCAAGTCTCTTTCGCTTCCTAAACAGGTGTCTTAAGCTGTGCATTCTTCGTAGATCCTTTGATCTCCTTGTACAGTTTCTGTGCACTTTTACCTGGCTAAATAAATACAGTAGTTGTACAACACTGACCAGGTCTAAACAAGCTGAAAATGCTTTTTTCAAAAATGTGCCAGAAGTAAATATCAAAAACTGAGTCGTTTGGATGGGAGGGGGTGTTCAGTGGCCAGTCTTTCCCTTGGCAGTTGCCCCACCCTTCCAGACAAATTGGAAAAGCAAGCAGTCCTTAATGCCACGATAAAACAGAAGCCTACATCAACTGATACATGAATGTTAAATGAAATGTGTTGGTAAGGAATCTAATCATTGGAAAAGAAAACACCAGAAATTGAAAGAAAAGAGGAAAACAGTCTTGGGGCACCCACACTTGATTTAAAGTGTAACTTGGAACATTCTATATGTATGTAGAACAACATTGTTGCCTTGCAGATGATTAATTTAGGGATATTGTTCTTAAAAGTCATGGTACCACCCTGCCCTCCCTAATATGTAGAATATAACCTAACCCGCTGGGAATTTCCTTAAGGCCTGATAGACCAGAGGTTTACACTTGTTCGTACACCTTTCTCTTCCCGAACGTTGGTTGAAAGAAACAAGAAGGAAATTACAGTCCCTAAGTGTTACAGCTTCATCCATATCAAAATACAAGGACATACATCCAGTTTCCAGTTTCACTCTATGATGAATCTGCTTAGAACAGCAGGATAGCAGAGAAATACTTTGGGAGTTGTGAAACATTGAATTTGGTTTAGACATAAAAGAGGGAAATATATGCAGGGCTACTTTACCATAATACATTTAACTAAGGCTCTTTTGTGTGCCAAAGTGATGGCCAGTAGAAAAATCCTCCTGAAGTGTAAGCAGTTTAAGGCAACATATGGCCATGTGTTCACAAGGGATACTTAAATTTTAAGTTGGAAATTTATGAACAAAAAGGGGATGTTATGCTACCCTGCTTAATACAGGAAAGAATAGAGACTGTCTTCCTTTTGCATCTGTAAAGTCTGCTCATAGCAGTAGCTTTACCTCTTATGATACTAATGTTTAATCCCTTATACAGCCCCATTTATAGGAAGTCAAGGATGTTTTCGAACCTGATAAATTCAGGTACATTCTTTTGACCCCACATTATGACTGCTTTTTGTGCCATTTCACAGGTCTGTCTTTCTTTCTTTCTTTCTTTCTTTCTTTCTTTCTTTCTTTCTTCCTTTCTTCCTTCCTTCCTTCCTTCCTTTCTTCCTTTCCTTCTTCCCTTCCTTTCCTTCTTCCCTTCCCTTCCTTTCTTTCTTTATGTAACATTTATCTTTTGGCTGCAATTCATTCCCTTCCTTTCCTTTCTTTCTTTCTTTTTTTCTTAATGTAACATTTATCTTTTGGCTGCAATTCATATATTTTGAATGAATGTACCAGCCAGAGAAGAAAGGCAGAGATGTTAGGCCAAGTTTCTTTTAGAGCATTTATCCATGTAGCTGCTGGGCATGGAACCTTGTAACTTGTACATTTTCGAGTGTGATGAACAGATACATCTGAGTACCCAACTTGCTTGTTAGCAAGTTAAATAACTAAAAGTCAACTGCTTCTTTCAGAGGTATCCCAGCACCAGTTTGTTTTGAACTACTTCAGAATAGTTGCCTTTAATACATCTAGATCTTAGTCTTGAAGCCTACACGGGGACAAGTGGGTACTGAGAAATTGTGGAATTAGCCCTGGGTCTTGGATTCCCTACATATGGAGGGGTCACTAGCATTACTAGAATGTTCATCAATAGCCAGGGTGCCAGCATTAGTCTTCACAGCAATGCCCTGTAGTGGAGGTGTTTGTTGGGGCTATTTCCAGGGGGTCAACCCAAGAGGTATGCAGCGTTGCTGTGGCTTAGTTTATGGAAACTAACATTTATATATATAAAGTGAAAGGAAGGTGTTTTGGTAGTTCTACACAACTTATCTCTATCTGATTCCAGGTCAGAAGAATTATCGCTGTGCTCTCTGTGAGAAGTCCTTCACTCAAAAGGCCCACCTAGAGTCACACATGGTTATTCATACTGGGGAGAAAAACCTAAAATGTGATTACTGTGACAAACTCTTCATGCGACGGCAAGATCTTAAGCAGCATGTCCTCACCCATACACAGTGAGTAAAATGTAGGAAAAGGCTCATTCAGAAATTAATCCAGATCATCTAAAGAAATGTGGTGGTCTACAGGAATATACTTATCTAGCTTATGTGGAAGTATAATGGCATTTGCAATGGATGCCTATTATAAACCAAAACCAAGATTAAATAAAGGCTGCCACAGAAAGCAAGTATGGAACTTAATGTATTTGTCTGGCTAAAAATTAAGTATATTGTCTCTATGGAAGGGTAATCTGGACTTAGTGAGATAACCATTTTATTATAGTGATACTATGCAATGGTACCCCATTTCCAATTTACATGTAATGTTTGGTCATATTTTGAAGTAGGAGAGGGCCATATTTAGGCTCCCAGAGCATTTTTACATCCCCACCCAACTCTCACAACCCATTAAAAAGCAATTGTATTTTTCAAATGTTATGTTCAAAAAGTCCCCTTGTGCCCCCTAGGGGGCAATTTTGCCAATATAGCTTATGTCCTCCATACTATCCACATTTTATTTTATTTTATTTAAAGGGGAGGGATTAACTAATTGGTCTGTTTAAAAAACCCTCATTGTAGCAACCTTTCTACTACATAACCACTGTATTTTTTTAAAGTGCCAACTAGCTTCTTTAACCATAATGATCCCTTGGACTATAGTTTCTGAGCTGCCCCCCTCCTTGGCCCCACTAAAATCTCCCATGCAAAATGCGGGTATAGTATTCGAGAAGGGAGAGGTCCCTAAAAATATTGATCCTTTGAGGCTGTGTTTATAAATTTAGCACACAAACTATAATTATGTGGGAGTCCAACAGATATATGAGGGCGTACTTAAGTTTGTGCTTCTTACTGATACTGCATTGACCACTGAATAATCATACTGAATGAATGGAGGAGTAGCGTGGTAACAGTTTCATAACATATACGGTAGACATGGGGATGATTTTTTTCAAAAAAAATGCAATATTCATGAAATATTGCTGATTAACGGAATATTCATTCCTTCGCATTTGCCAGGTCCAGAGACCCTGACAAATACAAATGGATGAATATTTTTATCCATTTTTATTTGTCCCTTAGTGCAGGCTGTCTGCAGGGAAAGAAACCAGTTTCCCTTCCCACAGCCTGCTTGCTGGAAGGGAAACCCTGGTTTCCTTCCCTTAGTCATCCTGCTTGTAAATGACACAGGCAGACTGAAGGAAGGGAAACCCTGGTTTCTGTTCCTGCAGCCAGCTTACTTGTCAATGTCCTTTAACGATGAATTGACAAATATTCATTGGCTTGTTACTAAAAGTTGGTGCTTCATCGATTCATCAACTTTGATGAATCACAGCAAATCACCCTTTTTTTCCCGATACATCCCCATCTCTAATATACTGTCATGTATAATGACAGTTTGTTACCTTTTATGTTTTAGAGAATGAATAAATTCTAACAAAAGCTTTTTTAAAGGGACATATATTTAAAGTTTTTTTTTAATATAGCCTTGTACTCGATTCTACTTGACACCCAGATTTCATAGTATGATTGCATGGGTGTGTGGACCTGAGATTTTTTTATAAATTATAATTGAAAGATACAAAAATAGCATTCTGAAGGTATTAATGGAGATTTTTCCCCATTTGAAAGCAAAGTCAGTATGACTTTATTTAATGGGACTTCAGGCGCATTCTCTTTTACTCCAGTTGTTGTTGTTTAGTCATTAAGTCATGTCCGACTCTTTGTGACCTCATCGACCAGAGCACACCTAGCCCTCCTGTCTTCCACTGCCTCCCGGAGTTGAGTCAAATTCATGTTGGTAGCTTTGGTGACGCTGTCCAACCATCTCGTCCTCTGTTGTCCCCTTCTCCTCTTGCCTTCACACTTTCCCAACATCAGGGTCTTTTCCAGGGAGTCTTCTCTTTTCATGAGATGGCCAAGTATTGGAACCTCAGCTTCAGGATCTATCCTTCCAGTGAGCACTTGGGGTTGATATCCTTCAAAATGGATAGGTTTGTTCTCTTTGCAGTCCAGGAGACTCTCAAGAGCCTCCTCCTTTATGGTCCAGCTCTCACTTCCATACATCACTACTGGAAAAACCCTAGCTTTGACTATGCGGACCTTTGTCGGCAAGCTGATGTCTTTAATCCAGTATAGCTGTCTAATATTCAGTATTCGTTTTTAAATACCATTTTACTGTAAGTAAATTAATAAATGCCAAAAGATATCTTTCAGGCCATTTTGGAAAACTGTAGTATGGATAGTTGGGTATCTTGTTCATATTGTCAATGAATTCTGCTGACTTGTGTTGCAAGTATGTGCTTCTCACACTACTGCTGAGTGGGGTTGTCCTTTAGATTCAAAACTGTGAATTTCCATATGTTAAATGAACATAGGGAGCCAAGGTTGAACATTAAAAATAGAAATTCCCAGGAATCAAGGAAGTTGTCTGAAATGCAGTTAAGCTGTTTTATTCTAACCAATATGCTTTCCCCTGTCCTTTTGCTTAGAGAACGTCAGATCAAGTGTCCCCAATGTGAGAAACTCTTCTTGAGGACAAATCACCTGAAGAAACATTTAAATTCTCATGAAGGGAAGCGCGATTATGTCTGTGAAAAATGTTCCAAAGCTTATTTAACAAAATACCACCTTACACGCCACCTAAAAATCTGCAAAGGACCAACCTGCAGTCTCTCAACCCAGGAAGAGGAGGATGAGGACGAGGACGATTCTTCAGAGGAAGAAGAATCAATAAACCCTGTAAGGGCTGAAAACTGCAGACTTAATGCTAGCATGTACGTGACGGACAACACACATTCTTGCCATAAATAAGAAATGGAGTTCCCCAAATATAAAGTGATTCAGTCTTGAAAACCATGTTTATCAAAATAAGATTTGTACAGTAAACCTCTGCTCCGCAGATCAGGCCTTGGACCCTTAAGGAAAATGACTTATGTCTTCCTTTTCTTTCAGAGGGGCGTCCACAAAGCTTAAACCAATGTAACTACCCACTTTGTTAAAATTGTGCTATTGGTGCTCTTGTTTGATGTGTCGTGCATGACTCCTAGAATGAAACACAGATACAGATCTGCTCAGCCAATGTTTTGGAACAGGATCAGTTGTCCTCTTTTACAATTAATGGTACCTTAGAGAATGCAAATTGCATTCATCATCACAGAAGTCCAATGATCTGATTTTCCTCTATAAATTATTTTGAAACTCAGTAGGAACTAGCTAAAGCCAGCATTCATTATATGCCAATGGATTAATTGCTCACATATGCAGACAACTATTTCCAGATGACAAGACCGCAACAGCACAGTATAGTATCCATGCTTGTGTTCAGAATACAGGCTTTTATCACGAATCAGTTTTGCTACTTCGTGGTTACAACTATGGTATTATCTATACTGTAATTTGCAACCATTTTTTTCTGGGAGGTGGGAATTTTGCTGCTAATGTATTTATGGAATGAATATATCATTTAAAATCTGGTTCCTTATGGGCAAAATTAAAATATTGCTTTTTAACATGTGCATTAATTACAGAACTCTTAAGATCTTTTTAACTAAATAGGATATTGTTTTCCTATATACCTCTTCTGCCCAAAGCAGCAAAGTATTATGCTAAAAGATAACTTTATAATTGTATTATGTTTCAGTTTATAAAATGATTAACTGAAATGATGTTCCTCACCTAGCACAACTGTATAGAAATCTGTTGCCAAGCAAAGATTAGAAAAAGCCAGCCATAACTGGCCCTTTTGTTTATACAAAGTCTGGTTTTATTCAGTGGCACATGCCTTGATCCAGGTATGCAGGCTTAGAGGTACTTCCTACAACAGGATACTCAACCTTGACTGCCAGTCTTTTTAGCATTTATGCCAAATTCTGGCTGCTCAGCTTGTCAGGAAAATAGCTTATAGAACAAGCCTTAGCTTTCCATTAATCTGTCTTTAAAACTAGCCCCCACCCTGAGAAAAGCAGAAATCTGGAATTAGCAGTCCATTTCAAAGTAAAATACAACTCTTTATAGTATTTATGGTATTAAATTATATATGAATACATAAGAATCTTAAGCTACATCATGGTTTCATTACAGCTTGTGGATCGCTGCTGCTGCTGCTAGCAGAATTCTTTGCTTCAGTTTCAGAACTTGATTGGGCAACTGCTAGCCTCTGTCGGTTTCCAAAAACTTCATTCACTGTAACACAAATAAGGGTAAATACCACTGTCAGGACTACTACAAGGACCATCAAATTAAGAAGAATTGTCCTACAGGGAAATCCTGATGTGTTAGAGAACCACATCACTTTACTTCTGTTGTTTCAATCCAGGAAACTTCTGTATAGCCAGGAGGCAACCTGCCCTGCTTTTTTGCAAAAGTATCTCTTCCATGACGTTCTTAACACGTAGGAATACTTTAGGAATGGCCTTTACTGCAGTAGAAGGCATTGGCAGTAGAAGATTATGACAAAGAATCCCTGTACTAACTTTACTCTATCAGGCATCCCCCAAATGTTATGGATTGTAATTCACATCTTGTAGCAGGAACTGTTGGACAATATATATCTGGAGGACATACAGCTGGAGCAGGCTGCCCCATATTGTTCAGAGGTATACGTGGACAGGTAAAGGCCTTTTGCCCAACAGTCTTTTACTTTATAACAGAACCCAAAGCAATGGCTAATTCAAACTGAAGTGTCTTGCAACCTCTTTCCTATGCCAATTTGTAGAGCAAGTCTTGGGACAGCATTGCTTTAGAACAAAATGAACACAAAATGGAGCCAACATGAATGTAAAATAATCACCTGCAGAAATTGTGCTTATATCCCAGACACGTAGTCCTTGTCTCTCTCCTCCAAAGGCATAGACAAAAGGTAAATCTGGGCAGCAAGCTGCACAGAAGAGAACACCCTGAGGGAGAGAAAGAGAAACATGATTCTACATGATCCTCTGCTGACCTGCAAATTCCCCACTATAGCTTTTTCTTATCTTTTCCACACATACCTCCCCTTTTAGCACTCTGTGAAAAGCTTTACCACAGACAGATCTAAGGGATCCCACTAACCAGAACAGATAACTGCCTACATGATCTTTGTTTACCCTGGGCAGCATGAGACATTAACCCCATAATGGTCCCCATACACATCATAATCTTTGCTAGTACTCATCTTTATCAACATACTCATTTCATGTTCCGGGACTGGAAGAGTAGCGCAAGTGTGTGGTACTTAAACATATACTAGATTAAAGGTGGACAATGAGCAGCCCTCCAGATACTACTTGAGTGCAACTTCCAATATTCCTCACTGTTGCCTATACTGGCTATGGTTGATACCTACAGTCCAGCACCTGGAGGACCACACTTTATCAATTACTGCATTAGACAATTAAGTTTGCTCCTGACTTGGACTGAAATTACCATTTTCATATCTCTGGGATACCTACAGTCCAGCACCTGGAGAACTACACTTTACCCATCACTGCATTAGAAAATTAAGTTTGCTCCTGACTTGTTGGAAGTATTAAATACAGAACATGCCTAAGAAAAGCAAAACAACAATCTACTGTTTAGTTTTTAAAAAACAGGACTGAAATTACCATTTTCATATCTCTGGAATGAACCAAACTAGGTTTGTCTCCTAGAATGTCCCAGATTTTCACATATTTGTCTGATGAAGCTGTAACAAGGCATCCTTTGATTTGGCTGCTCAACTGTAGTCCTGAAAAGCAAAAGTGTGTACATACTCAGTTGTACAGTTAACACTTGGATTTGAGCTCTTTGTGACCTCTCCCTGATTTCTGCCTCTCTCTCTCTCTGTGTGTGTGTGTGTGTGTGTGTGTGTAGAGAGAGAGTGCCATGACCATGTAACCCAAACAAAAGGCGTAGAGTGTGTCATGACCATGTAACCCAAACAAAAGGCGTACTTGGTTGAACAACACATGTATTCTCATTATGGTGAGTTACATGGGTTCACAGCCCATGGAAGAGATTCTTTGCTGACGTGTCCCATTACTTCCAAATGAAGGGAGTTGCTGATGGCACCTGATCCAAAGGGTCCCAAAATCCCACAGGTTCCACAGCCAACTTTTCCATCTTCCCTTCAATGTCAAAACAAGAGATCTTAAAAACATATCACCTTCACTTGTTAGGATCTAAGTAAGAAGAAGTACAAATCCCATATATGGCACCCGGACACATACATGTTTACCTCAGGGGTGTGCATGAGCATTAACTGTCCTGTTTGTAGTGAAGCGAATGTGCATAACCACATCCTACATATTTGCTTCAAGTGGGAGGTGAAAGAAGAAAACATTTACCAGATACTTCTTCATTATGAGCTTTTACTGTGAAGACTGGTTTATGTGACCTGGCATCTAGACAGTACACAAATCCATCTTCTGTGCTGGCCTAGGAAAAAGAAGTGCTGTTAAAAACAGAAATAATTAATGGAGTTCCCAAGGCAAAACTTGGTCCATCCTGTCGTTCATTAGTTTTAACTAGAACCTAGAGAGACCTAGAGAGAGGCAAGTATAAAGATCTATGGCAATAAGAGCAAGCCCCGGGGTGGAAGACCAACCCTTGTATCTCTGGTCCTTCACTCCAGCAAAAATCAAACTTCCTTTCAAGAAAATTTCTTGCTGGCCAAGGTAATGAAGCATCAATAAATACCAGACCTCACGTCTGCTGCTTAACAAACATATCCATTCTGCTTTAGATTTTAGGACACTATTTGCCTTGACGTGATTTGGTTAGCAACTGGGTTATAAATATACAGTGGGAGGTACAGGACTCTAAAATGGCATCAACACTCCTTATACTTACTAAAAAATGGTGAGGAGAAAAATGATTCCAAGTTACTCTTTCAACCTGTCCACTAAACCGCCAGATTCGATGGTTGTCTTGTGGACTTCTGCAGTCATACAAAATGGCTGATCTGAAAAATATCAAAATTTGATTCAAGCTGGGTATCAAATTTTTAAAAACTGAACTAAAATAAATAATTCATTCAAATGTACAGAGGTTTTTAAACAGCTAAGCAAAAACAAAATTGTCATGTTGCAGGCAAGTTACTACGAAAAGCTTATTACCATCCCAGAGGCTATAAAGTAGGGGCTGACAAATTACAGTCCCCAAGAAAAAATTTGTGCAGGCCCCAGAGTCTCTGAATATTTCTCAAGGCACTCCCCCAATAAAGATCAAATTCTCCCCGTGAAAGCACCCTTCCCACTCAAAGAACAAAAGCAGAAGTACACTTTCCGATACATCTTGCTTTGTTTTCTCCTTTTGTTTTTCTCCCGGGGTCCTGCAGTGCTTACCAGATTCTCCATGAAAAAAACGGGGTCCCAAGGAAGCCTTGGGCTCCCAGGGGTGGGGGGAGTTGTCAGAAATGTTTGATTTCCAAAATATCAGTTTTCATACTATTCCAACAATCATGCAACTCTTATTTTACATATGAAACACTGAAAGTAAAATATTTACTTTCTTACTTGTCATAAGAACCAGAAATGAGAGTCTGTGTTTCAAATGGATGAAACTGCAGCGTCTGTACCTATGAAGATTAGATTTGAAACAGTTACACTGAAATTCAGTTTTACACTGTATGCATGATAACATATATTTCCACCTATGTTAGCTTGTTGCAGCAAAAGTAACACAGTCTTTAGCATGTCAAAGGCACCTTAAAACTCCATTCTCAAGAAGTTGTCTGGTTTGCAAAAAGATGTGTTCTTTAGGAAGGCTTGTTTTTGAAGTTATAAATATTCAAAATAAAAATTCTTGGACTAGAATGCTAGACTATTTGCTTTTTAATCCCACATCAGTAATTTCTTTTAAATCCAATATAAGTTTTACATGCTAACCTGTGCAGAATTTTCTTTTGAACTAATGGATAATTAGATTGCTAAAAATGGTTTCACTTGTGGAAGGATTCCATATAGCAGTGATTTCAAAACTTTTCTGACACATAGCTCCCTTCACGTAATGGTCACTGGTCACAGTTCCCCAGCACGGTAGACTGCCATAGCCGTGGGATCAGTGCCCACAGTTTCACTTTCCCACTGCTTGAAGAAGAAGAAGAAGAAGAAGAAGAAGAAGAAGAAGAAGAAAGAAGAAGAAGAAAGAAGACTAAAGAAGAAGAAGAAGAAGAAAATGAATACACCTTCCCAGAGTGTATTACCTCTGGCCACTACACGGAGCCAGAGACTTCATCCCTGTTTCCCAGAAAATAAGCCATAGTATGAGTTTTCAGAATGTTCGTAATATAAGCCCTACCCCAGAAATAAGCCCCAGTTAAGTGAAACCCTGCCCTCCACCATGGTGCATCATCCAGAAAAAGAAGACATGCCTGTATTTAAATAAATGTAGATGGTTGTCCAGGAAAATATAAAACATCCCCTGAAAATAAGACCTAATGTGTTTTTTAGAGCAAAAATTAATATAAGACCCAGTCTTGTTTTTGGGAAAACATGGTAGATAGCTTAAGGGACACACCCTCATGGCCTGACTTCTCAGAGAGAAGGAGCTTCCAGAAAAATGGAAGAGGATGGAGGTGGTCAGGAAACGTTTCCTTGGGAACAGAGGGGCAGGAGACCCTGTCCTGGGTTAGGGTTCCCTCTCTCCACCATGAGCAGAGACCAGAGAAACTACAAGTGCTGTAGGATAATTTACGTGAGTGGGGGAAGGGGGGAGAAGTCTGAGAGAATTCCGTGGTGCCCCAGGGTGGAATTCCTTGCGCCCCATGGCACAACAGTGCACAGTTTGGGAAACACTCCCATATAGTCTTAATTACATACATATTTTATAAACATTGTGACAACTGTGACACAGAGTCATATGGCACCTTGAAAACAGGTGCATAAGTATTTTGGAGGCTTTAGTTCAAACAGCTTTTTTTGTCTTTAAAGTGCTCGTACAAGACTCCTTGTCACAATTTGTTTCTAAGACTTGCCAGCAATATGGGCAAAATTTTTATTGGTGTTAGCTTTATGTTGACATAACCCAGACTATATTCCCGTTGTGAAATCTATATTGGATTAAGAAGTAATTGCTGGCGTAGAACAAAAAAAAGGAACAGTTTGGCATTCTAGTGCATAATCAAGAATTTTTATTTAATGTTGAGTAGCATTGAAAGTAATTAAAACAGGCCTCCTTCAGCACTCTTACTGCAGTCCAGACAACCAGAAAACTGTGTTCGACCCAACTACTTATTTATCTGGTAGTTTTGGTGGGCTGCCACCAAAATTAAGACACCAATTCCTCTATTTTTCATTTTTGTTGTAAGACCAAGAAAATTGTTCCGAGTACTGCTAAACTTGTTTCAGTGGTGATCACACAAAAAACTGATATTGAGAGGCAATGAGCAGCTGAAAATCCATTTCTTTTGCAGTAGGAGAGTCTCATCCTTGGTGCAGCACTATGATATTAGTACATGCTAACACTTATTTTACACAATTAGTAAAGATAGAAGGGCACTGCACATTAAATATCGATACCTGATTACTTTGCTAGAACAACCAGGAATTCAGATAAAATCAGAATTTGAAATTTTGAACCCAGAATGTTTTTATCTACTGAAATCTGACGAACTGAAATTAATTCTACTAATTCAGCTGTAGCTTACAATGGAATGTCTCACAGCTAATAAAACTCTTATGGAAACAAACATCTTCTCCATGTGAAAACCTAGAGAAGAACAAGAATGTGCCTTCAATTCACTTACATGCATACACGACATACCTTTCTACCAATCATTCAAAAGGTTCAAACTCTTGGCATTTCTCTAGACCACTTGGGCGCTCTACTGTTTAAGCAGTCGTATAGACTGCTAAAAGTTAGGCTTTTGGATATTGAAAGGCAAGACCTTATTGGGGCAGCCCATAAAGTTTGTTCACCTTTAAACTTACAACTCCCTCTACACATCGACAAACTGGCCAGCTATCTGCATATTAGAGAGTCCACATGAAAGGCGTGCCTTCACTCTTGCAAGATGCAACGTACTTCCATGTAATGTTCTATATGGTAGATTTAGCTCCCAACGAATGGAAACACGGCTCTGCCCTTGTAATTCTGGGGCCCTTGAGTCTTTGGCACATATGTTTCTTTACTGTGCAGTAGACAGTGATATTCATGCATCTAATTTGGAGTGAATTCTTGCTAGTTTACCTGGTTGATCAGAGGAAGCAATTCTGTACACTCTCCTGCTAGGGAGAGAACAAAATCTACACCAGGCAGATGGCCAAATATATCTATTAATACAGCGACACAGGTCACCATTTCCAACAAACTCTTTGTTCTGCTCTCCTGGGATGTAATCAACAAATTCCCAAGTTTGCCAAAGCCTTGCTGCTGATGTCTAGCTGTCTCTTTCAAACAAATTATGTTTGTTTTATCTATACTTATGGCACCCATGTTGTTTGTTTTTTTCTTAACTGGGCACACACTCCTCATTCAGGTGAGGACTGTTGCCTCTTGTGTTGTTTCTTTTCAGATGCCAATAAAGGTTCTTTCTTACTTTCTACCATTTTTTGTTTGCACCTGAAACAGGAAAGGGACCCCAGTACAGTGGTTTCAAAGGCAACATCTGTATCACTAGTTCTCAAACAGGAGGACATAAGGAAACCAGCGTAATCCTCAGTTACATCTACAACTTCACATACTTCAAAAGGAATAGATGCTGTTCTAGTTTCGGGCACTTATGTCCAGAGCTTCTTAGTCAGGATTCCTGTGTCTTTGATAGTTACAAAACTAGTATAAATTCAGCAGATGAAACTGTGTCCATTTTTGCAGCCCAGCATACTTCATCTACTGAATTGCTGTCTGCCCTACAGGTATTATACTGGAACTCCACAAAGTAGGGAAGTGAGAAGCTGATTACTTAGCTATAAGGCAGACAGCTAAACAAGCTATCCATTAAATGAGTTAGTTATTCCCATGGAAGCATGAACATACCTTGTCTGTGTGAAGAGAAAGGGTTGCTGCAGGTGTGCCCTGGGCCATGTCCCAAAGGATTACAGAATGGTCGGCTGATGCACTTGCCAACACAGATCTGAAACAAGCAAGGAGGCTGATTTACATAAAGAAAATATAAAGTCAAAGGGCAGGTGCACAAACATCTCACACCCACTTGTCTCGTTCTTCAACTTTTAAAGATAAAAAAAATGAACAAGATATTTTGAAGTACATCTCTTTAAATCAAATTATAACTGTGTTCCTTTATAAAGTTTATAAAGCTTAGGGTTTATGATTTTTTAAACAGCTGATTGGCAGTTCTAAAATGGACGCTGGGTAAAAAAATATGGCCGCCCACTGTTTTCTGGGATGGATTCCTTGCTTAGCGGGCAGTGAAAATGGCCTCCGTATGGAGGATTTTCGCTTAAAGGTGAGTCTGAAGCCCATAAGAACGCATTGAAGGGGCTTCAATGCATTCCTATGGACTTTTTAATATAGCATAGCGACGAAATCGCTTTGCAGTGATTTTTGCTGCACCGATTATCGTCGCTATGTGAGGCACCACTGTATAAAGTCAAAGGGCAGGTGCACAAACATCTCACATCCACTTGTCTCATTCTTCAACTTTTAAAGATAAAAAAAAAGAACAAGGTATTTTGAAGTACATCTCTTTAAACCAAATTATCTTAACTGTGTCCCTTTATAAAGTTTATAAAGCTTAGGGTTTTTTTTTAAGACACCAGGGGCCTGTGTGTAATAAAAGCAGATCAGCACAGCTGCTGTCTCCTTGTCAGACGCTTTGTTAAATTACCTGAGTCAATATCCCAAGCAGTAACTAGAATTATGTCTTTTAGAAGAGAGGAAACATACAGAGTGCTCTGAGAATATCTGAGCAAGGATTTGTCAGCTGTGACTGCTCCACAGACATTAGTATTTGTAATTTCAAATAAATAATGCAATGTTTAATTAAAAAGACCACAATGAGAAGTTCTGGACATACTGAAACAAAAAACCAAAGAAGATCAGCAGTGCTCTAGAAATCAGACATTAAGTCCAGTTCTATCAATGTCAGCACTCATACAGGAGGAGGCAAAAGGCTCATCCCCTCCCCCCATAAATGCATTCAAATATACATCTTCAATGTTCATATACTTGTACATGTGTTGGCAGTGCTTCATGTGCTCAAAATCACATAGCAGCAATGTGTATGAATTTGAACACAGCAAAAGATGAAGCCTCCCCTCATTTTAATGCATGTTCAGTCTATTTAAGAAAGAACTGGTCCTCATAGCTGAAACAGGCTTAAATGGGACATGAAAGAAATATTCAAAAAGGTAGCTAATCGTTTACATTAGATGTTCCATTTTTGGATTACAGTATTTGAGTTTAAACAGCTTTAGAATCTCTACAACAAAAGCAGAAATCTATTTTCAATATTGTTTTTCAATATCAATTGGTAGCTTTATATTTCTACCTGAGTTGCTTATTCCATGAAAGGTCAAGAACTGCATCGGTATGGCCTCCTTGTTTGTCTTCTTTTGGCAAACTCTTCATAGAAAAACATTAAGAAGTTTGTATTGCTTCCACATATAATAAACAACAGCAAACATGTTTACTGAACCTCTGGATGCACCTTTACGCAGCCAAACAAAGACAAGGACATATTTCAAGACATATAACGAGAAATGGGAAAAGTTATTTTCTTCTGATTGTCCAGAATTCTGATTTTCTTTTGATTTTCCAGAATTCCCTGGCTTTAAACAATCTGCTGTGCCAAAGTCCCACACCTTAATAATCAGAATGGCCAACTTTTCCTATTTTTGCATATAATTCTTATGCAGAATGTTTCTAGTTTCTGAGGTTAATTCTGTTTAGCTTTGTTCTTACTCCACTGACAAACATAAAACGCCGTCTTGTAACACAGGAGTGCAATATTTGCCTGCCTCACTTAGACGCAAGAGGGACTGCAGTGGGACCTCTTACTTTCTAACACTGGTGTTCTATTTCTAAGCTGCAGAGCCACACTTTTCCCTTGGACAGGGTCAAGAACAGAGGGTCCCAACCTTGGGTAACCCAGGTGTTCTTGGACTGCAATTCCCAGAAGACTTCACCATAAACTGTGCTGGACAGGTTTCAGGTATTTGCAGTCCAAGAATACCTGGGTTACCCAAGGTTGTGAACCACTGATTATGAGAAGATAAAAGCACACCGTTATTCCCAAGTTCCCTGCCCGCTTTTCTCATTCTGCTCACACTTTATTCTGAGGAGTCCCGTCTTAAAATAACATTTCAAAAGCTACTGCCCCTCTTCTTTTTGCAGTCGGGGCCCACCACAATCTCTTCTCTTTAGCAAATGTAGCAACAAAAATGCTCTCCTGACAAACCTTTAAAAATAAATTCCACTGAAAATAAATCTGTGATACTTATTCCAAAACTATTCAGCCCATTTTGCTCCAATTTCTAGGACTAACTTATTCTAAAACACACTCTCAACTTCCAACACATTTTGAAATGCAATGTGGAATCAGTGGTTTGGAGGTATGCCATTTAGACAAAGGGAGCAGCTCCACTTGGTACTTGAAAATATTATCACTGGATGACTACTTACCTTCTTTCCTTTCTTCTTCATTTTTGCTTTCTTGCTTCCAAGGGAAAAGACTGGTTCTAAAGAATCCACTATGTCAAGGTCCCATATTTCAATAACAGGATTCATTGTGCCCACGGCAACATAATTTCCTAGAGTGAAAGCACACCCATGTTGCGTTAACTCAGCCTTCTATACATCACTTACTATACTCTGACTTCCTTCTAATGATTACATATAAAGCCCTAAATGGTTTAGGACCTCGCTATCTAACGGAACGCCTTCTCCCACCACAATCTACCCATATCACTCAATCTAGTCAGGAGGTGCGACTGAGGAGCCTAACGCCAAGAGAGGTCCAAAAGGAAAAAACAAGAAACCAGGCCTTCTCAGCAGTCACTCCTCGGTGATGGAATAATCTACCTTCAGAGATCCATATGGCCCCTTCGCTGGGTATTTTAAAAAGCCAATTAAAAACCTGGCTATTCAGGCAGGCCTTCCCTCCAGGCACTATTTGATCTATCTTCTTTGTCTTTTTCCATCTTGAATGACTTTTTATTCTTGGATACTGATGTTATTTTAATTGTTTATTTTGTCTGATGTACGCCGCCCAGAGTAGTCGAATGACTAGATGGGTGGGATATAAATATAAGAAATAAATAAATTATGTCAGCCTTTAAAAAATAAGCAATGCAATGAATCAACACAGCCCAAGAGTTTAAGTTTTATTTTTCTTTGTATAATATTTAGCAATAGCTAAAATTATGAAGAGTCCTACTGAAAGTCCACCACAGTACTATTCTTCATTGTACATGCCTTGGCAGGATGAGTTATTTTTTGTATCCTTTTAGCCTTACAATAGCTCTGTGTTTCATTAGGCTAAGGCATGTAAAAGTATTAGTGGGCTGGGAATATTAATCTGTATTTCTTGGCACTAGGCAAAAGGACTTCTGCATCTTTTAGATTGCAGGCCCCAGAGATCTGCAGGAATCCCCCCAGCCAGAAATTGGGGGTGGGCGTGGGTTTAGCCACAAAATAAAATCCCTCTCAGGTGTTTTAAATCTCTTACAGCAGAGGAAAAAAAAGTTATCTGTTGGACTTTATGAATCCTCATGCAGACAGGGGAAGTGAATCAGCAGAGCTAAGCTCTGTGGGAGCTGCGCATTAGAGAACTAGTAGTCTATCTGGCTATTATGTTCCTCACATGATGCCTCTCAGCACACTAGCTAGACCCCTGGCTAAAATCCCTGGAATTCTGGCTGATGTAGTCCAAAAAATCCCATGCCTTAGTAGCACTTTAACTCCAAATATATAAACAGTGTATGCACATGCAACTGCATACATGTAAGACCTTGGCCTTCTTGGAACAAATTTAAGCAGGCCATTCTCAATCTGTTCATGATAAAAGGGAGTACTTTAATGGCCTTGCAGATATAGTATTGTGGAAAAAAAAAGATCAAAATTACATTTATGACAGGCAGAAAGCAGTTTATCATTTTCTTAGAGATCAAAAGGAACTACTTACAAGCTAATGTTGGAAATAGGACAGTGTCCGAATACCCCAACAACCAAACGAGTCATTGCAAAGTTATACAGCCCTTTCTAGTTGATAAGAATACAGTACTAGGTAAGAAAAAAAATTATCAGCCATATACCTTTCAAAACAAAGCACAAACCATTGGTGGGAAGAAGAGAAAAGAGTGTTGACCAGATATGCCTGGCTATTTAGCAAGTACCAATTTGAGGTTTATTAAATCATGAACTTGATAATTCACCTGCAGGGTTTTCAGGACTAGGATCAAAGTTGAGCCATTCCACGCTTAAAGGGTATGCAGATAAGATGAGATCATGATGGACGTAAAACGAGTCCTCTTCATGGTTGAAAACTGAAAAAATTAAGTTTCCCACATGTAAATAAGATGAAAATTAGCTAGTTAACAAATCACATTTTTATTTCTAAAACACAGGACACAAAATACATATTTTTATTAGGGTGGAGAAAAAAGCCAATGTGTTTAAACAAGACTTGTTAAATTTCTTATTGATTATGGCTATCTCAATCTGATGGGGACATGAAACCCTACAAGATTCCTTGACTCCAGCCATGAACAAGCCAGAGAACTCTTTTTCCTCCTATCAAAGTGATTTGGTAAAATAACTCTAGTCTCCTTTCCCTTTGAGGAGTAAAGCAGACCAGGATGCACTGGATTGGCTGATAATTGAAATATCAACAACCTTTAAATTCTTAAAGCAGCAACCAGTCTAATTTGGGGCAATTTACACAATTTGTGAAATGCAGAATTTTGCACAGATATAATAGGAATATGGAATGATGTTGGAAGGGGCCTATATGGCCATCGAGTCCAACCATCAGTGCAGGAACACTGACAGATGGTTTCTAATTTTCTCTTAACTGCCTCTAGCATTGGAGCGCTCAGTCTTCTGCAGATAACTGATTCCATTGTTGTACTGCTGCTGTAACAATTAGAAAGTTTTTGAATTATATCTTCCTATTATGTGTCCTGCAGTTAAGGATGGTTGAGAACAGATCGTGCTCTTTCTCTGTATGAAAATCTTTCAAGTATTTGAAGAGCGGTATCATATTTCCACTCACATCTTCTTTCCTAAATGCTAAACATGGCCCATTCTTTCAGTCTATCCTCACAGAGCTATATAATATAGAATAAACAAAAAGGAAGAATTCAAACACAGTAAATGGATCTCAGTATATAAAAACAGTAGAAAAATCATTTTAGTACTATGAAAAAACAAAGACCTTGCTAGTTCTGTATTAAAAAGGATACTCACCATGGACCTCTAAACTGCAGTGGTCCTTATCAACTCTGCCACATACAACCAGATTGTCACTTGGTTTAATCACATAGTCCTCTTGCTCATATTGTTCCTAAAAAAAAAACTGAAGCATTTCCAAATCAATCTTCCAAACATTCTCCATGCAAAATGCTCAACAATTTTCTATCACTGCTGTAGACCTGTGGAGGGCAGCAGCATGTAACCTTTATGTTGCACACGCCCCTCCCTGCCAGATTTGTGGCCATTGCTGTCCTGACAACGTTGAGAAAGAGCAACAGTGAACATTCATGTGGGAGTCCGATGTCTCGAGGGTCAGTCACATCAAATGAAGGACGAGAAGGGTTTAACATTTCAACTTGCTTTGTGTTTATTTGAACATCAACATTAACTGGAACTTCAAGGGGAACAGCTTCTAAAGTCTCTTGCGGCACCAACCCTGGTTGCAAGGGTGTCCATAAATTTCTAACAAACGCATTACTGTCCTCAAAAGTCCACAACAGCTTCTAAAGTCTCTTGCGGCGCCAACCCTGGTCGCAAGGGTGTCCATAAATTTCCAACAAACGCATTACTGTCCTCAAAAGTCCACGGCCCCGATATTCCTTTCTCGGGCACCGGGTTGTCGCCAGTTTCTTCCTCTGGACCGATCAAGGGGAGTGTCTCTTCGTCACCACTCCAGCCCCATACGGACGACCCCTCTCTTGCATCTGCCAACCATGGTCCGGGTAGACCCCCATCTTCCGGAGCTCGGTGAGATGCCATGTCTTTTTCCTCTCTAATTCCCTCACCATGGCCTCTCTTTCTTCCCTTAGCTTAAACCTCCATTCTTTGGCTTCGGTCTCCCCCCAATATGAAGGACGGGGTTTCAAACGTTGGCGTCTCCTTCCTTCTGCCTCCTCGTGAGGCACTTTCATCTGCTCCCACTCTCCAGTCCAGGGGTCCTGGACCCAAATCAACTCCCACCCCATCTGGTATGTCTTCCCACTTTGCTTTTATATCCCCGGAAGCCGCCTCTATCTCCTCCCTCTCTTTTCCCGCCAATTCCTTCCCGGGTTTTTCTGTCAGTGTTAACCCCTTCAGTGCTAGCCCCAAGTCACTGGTATCCACTCCCTTGTCCACACACCCCTTTCCCTCGGGCACTGCCTCCAACTCGCAGGTATCCACCTGTTTGTCTTCACGTCTAGGCGGGGAAGGAGGAGGGGAAGTCTGGGTGGTCTGAACTCGCGACGGGAGCGACGGCACTCCTACATAAGCCTCCTGGTAGGGACTCTCACAATTCACTATGGGATTACCACAAAAAGAAATGCAAAAGACTTTCCTTTTCTCATATTTGCTAAGAGAAGGCGATGCTGTGCCCTACATACTAGAAAAGTTGTACATTATAGGAAGGAGGTCTACCACCTTGATATACCAGACAGCCACCAAATTTCAGCTGCTGCTGCTGCTAAATTCTACCCATGACAAAATCAAAAACTGTCATCAAATTTCAGCTGTCATGTAGCTTCCAAGCCAAATGCTTACTATAATTTCATTCTCTTTCTCTGTTTTATTCTCTAAGCTTTCTCAATTTCTGTAGTGCAATTTCACTTTGGGATGAAAAGCTTTTTTATTGTCTTCATTGCTAAATCACTGGGAATCTGAATATTTGGTTGATGTACTACGGGTCACCAAATTTATCATCAGCTAGCCTCAGATATAAGCAAACCAAAAATTTGGACAACTGGACAACACTGGACAAAAGACTGATAAACATACTGAAAAACAGAACATAAATTAACTCCCTTCTGCCCCAAAATAACTAAGGTAAATGCACAAAAAGTGAATACTTTAGCTGTTTTAACAACATCCTACTCATTTCTTGGCTCAAAAGGAAATATAATACTGCTTTAACACTCACAGTATTTGGAAGCGTGATGTAAGGATCATTTTCATTACTTGCATATACTGTAAGGCCTGCTAGGGTCTCTCCAAGACTCTCAGTACCTGTAAAAGTATATTTAGCATTTTATAAGACAAATGCAATGTGCTTGATTAGCCAAATGTTTATAAACGATGAAATTAACATGCAACCGTTTCTTTAGTAAAATAGTTATGGGCCAAAATGCATCATCAAGCAGTTTTTCAACAGTGATATCCACGGTACAAGAATTAGAGCCAATAACTACACTTTCATTGTTAATAGCTTAGGCTTCAAGAGGAGAAGAAAATGTCTAGATGGTAGAACCATGGACCCTGCATTTTTAGTCAATGTTTTCAAATCGAATGTACAGGTCAGCAGCACACATCAAAACTAAATTCCCCTACAGAGGTGGTTAATTTTTGAGCTTTCCGATATTATTGGCGCTCTCATAAATTGGCTATCTGCACTCTACTGCATGTTGCAAAGGTTTCAGACTGCACCTAATACTATTGGGAGGAGAAAACAAACAGCTGTTCTCTCATTAAAAAATAAATCAAACTCCATCTGCTACTTGGATGTGTCACCATGGATAATCCAAACATATGTTCTCTGATAGATGACTAATAGAAATAAAAACAAACTGGGCAGTTTCTATGTTAACAAAACCAAAGGTTAATTCCAGGTATTGTAACTAAATCAGTAGAAATCCAATTGGTTGGTTTTACCGATAAGCTAAAGAGAGTGTACTTTCAGAATCATGCTTCATATTAAGAGTATGACTAAAAATCCAGACTTCGCTGTGTTATGTTCATACTGTATTTTTCTTCCTACTCATTTTATTTAGATATTGTCTCAAGAATTCAAAATGTTGAATACCATTTTGTAGCATTTGAGCTAATACAGTGTATTTAAAAAAGGCACTGCCGTAAAGACATTTTTTGGATTTTTTCCCTCTATTTACTGGCATAGTTCCTTTTGCTTTCTGTATGATATTTATATATACTAGAAGCCCCAACAGACCAGGGAGGGACAGCTCTTGGGGATGTCTTGAGCAGACAAAGGATTTCTCTGAACACCTTTTTTCCTCTTAGAACAGCCAATCAGATTACTTCCATGAAGCCCAAACGTGGGGCATATCATCTGAATGATTCCATTGCCACTGGCACATTTTGTATGGTGCTCCTTGCTAGGCACGAGATTTTCAGATTTTTGGGGATTTTAAATCCCATAATTCTCTATTCTACCAAATGTGGCTCACCTGGAGAAAAGGCTTGGCTAGAATAGCTCTGTGGCTATTATCCAGGTGAATCACAGTTATATGTCTGTGGGCATGGGTCTGTCAGGTGGAACTTCCAGAATGGATAATTATGGGGACTGTAGTCAAAAAAAACCCATGCCTACTCCTCACACAAATTTCAGTCTCCAGATTTGATCAATAAGTATGTGAAGGATCTTGTCTTAGGGTAGAATGAATTCCAATTATCCATTGTGTATCAAAACAGCTATGAGCCAAGTAGCATTTGAAGTTAAGACTCACTTACTGGTAAATCTTACATAAAACTCTCCTAGCCATTTTAAACTTATACTCCAGATTGCAGCACACACAGATCTATACCCTTACATGGCAACTTATAAACAAACTGTAGTCAAAGGGGATTAATGCTACCTGCAGTCTCATCATCATAATTATCCAAATCATATTCTGCCAGCTCATCATCATTCAAGTTTTCAGTCTCTTCTTGGCTCTCATCTTTAGAGGCGGGGCTAGGTGCCTCAGCATCAGCAACTTCCATGGCATCTGCTGAGACCTCTTCCTGTTCATCATCATCACTAATATCTGTCCTTTATAGAAGAAGTTAAACATTAATACTTTCACAAACTATAAATTTGCCTGGCATTTGAATGTCATTATCTGGCCTTCAACCTCCTGCACAATTTTACATCCCTACTATGCCAGCAAGAGTAAATATATTCATAGAAACAAATTGCACTGAACTCGAGATGTATTCCCAGGTAAAGGATTCAGCTGAAAGTCCTGCACCAACTTCCTAGAAATTCACTCAGAGTACAAGAAGTCCAGATGAGAGACACTAATGTCTCTTAAGTCAATAGAAAACTACTTTGCTAAGATGAAAGAACCTTGTTTACACCTAACAAAAACACTAATCTCTGTATCACTTACTGCCCATCTAAATCAGGGGATGGCAACTTCCAGCTATCCAAATGTTGTTGGGTTCCAGTTCCTGTCATCTCTTACCTTTGGGATGCTGGCTACAGTGGAAATAAGATGCAGTTCAATACCACTTGGAGGTATTTCTCACCTCTGACCCTACATTTTTACACACAGTGACAAAGCACTGAAGTCTACTCATAGCCACTGATTTCAGAGAGCTTGAGTATACCTAGTTAGTTCATGTAGCTAAATCTTTTTCTGTTTTCCCCAAATCCCAATACTGTTTTGATATTGTCTTTCTTCCTTTGTGAGTTAAACCTGAATTCATGTTCCTGCTTTTGGCATTTGAGCTTTCTTCCACAAATGCAGAAAGCAAGAGCTTTTGTGAACAATAAATATTAACTTTTTAAACTCTAGAACTAAGACATATTGTAAAAAAAGTTTCATACAGCAACTAACTCTAAAGTTACATTAGATGTTGTGTGTGTGTATATATACATGTGAGAAAACTAAGAAACCCATAGCTTTTCTTTTCATGTTGTCACTTGAACAACTGTTTATAATACTACACCATTCAGTGCAACCTGTTCACTTAGTTCATTGTCAACTGATTCAATAAGACATAAACTAGTTTGAATTGACTACCTGTTAATTATGATTAAGAACTACAATACAAAGAGCTTATTTACAACCTTGATTCAAGTTAGCCAATAGTACTTACTGCAATCTTTCCTTGGTTTCAGAAATCAACCGTGTCAATTCTTCCTTGTCAAGCTGGACCTACAATGGACACATAATAGAAGATCAATTTAGTTACAATTAAATAATGTCAGGAGCTTTTGGGGAAAATGAGACATTTAAACAGATTTGGAAAACAGTTTTTACCAGCATCACTTTAGCACCCAACTTTATAGGTTATAAGAATCATAGGGAAAGCAATAAAAAAAACAGTGCTTGAGGCATTAAAATTCCTAACACAAAGGAGTCACAAAAGAACTCCACATCTCTATTACTGTGTTTCCCCAAAAATAAGACAGGGTTTTATATTAATTTTTGCTCCAAAAATGCATTAGAGCTTATTTTCAGGATATGTTTTACTTTTTTCATATACAACAATCTACATTTATTCAAATACAGTCATGTCATCTTCTTCTGGTGACTGCACAATGGTGAAGGGCAGGGTTTCACTTAACTAGGGCTTATTTTGGGGGGTAGGGCTTATATTAGGAGCATCCTGAAAAATCATACTAGGGCTTATTTTCAGATTAGGTCTTATTTTTGGGAAAACAGGGTACCAATAATAAGAGGACCTGTGGGGAGACGCTGAACCAAAAATAACTATTGTGGGTTTTTTTAAACAAATATTAACTGCTTTGGGGAGAAAAGCAGGACACAAATTCTGAGGAGTAATAAATGATGCATAACATTAAGACCAATGTATTCCCATAACTCCAACGTGCAAACTCGGTGCTGGCATTTATATTTACAAAGGGGAAAAGAGCACAACTTTTCTGCGCTTTTGCTACAATCCAACACTCATTCTGACACAAAGCAGCTTTAATTAAGGCAACTCTGGGTACATTTACAAGTTAGACATAGTCCTACTCAAGTCAATAGGTCACACTTCTGAACAACGAAGTAGGGAACTGAGTTGAAAAATTCGTGCGGACCTTCCTATTATAAACGGCGCACTAGGATTTTTCCCACCCCGTCCGTTTTCGGTTTCTCCATCGTATGCAACCTGAACAGGAGTTCAAGGCAATTCTGTTCAGAAATCTGTTTTCTGCTTTAAAGGGAGGGAGAGGAATTATTGATCTGTTGCGGTCGAAAAAAGGAGATGCTAGAATGGTTCGGGGGGGGGGTTAGCGAGGGGAAAAAAAATACTGTACACACGTTGCTTCCCCTTAACGGGAGTGAAGGAAGCACGAGGGGCCACGGACCGGTGGTCTCACCTTATCAGGCGTTTCCTTGGCAACGCCTCGAGGAACCCAGCCAACGCATGTCACAGGGCAGCTCATAGTTCCGGCCAGCGACAGAGTGCGCCCCACAAGCAGGCTCCCCCCTCCCCGCGCGCGCTGCTCAGAAACGTGCGACTCCCTTCCGGCTTCCACGTTCCGCCCTCGCCCTGTCAGCAGCGGACGCTTCCATCATGCCCTATCACGTTCTGAGTAGCGCCGGAAATCGAATACGGGCGGATACAACGTCATCAAGGGGCATCAGCCGGCCGAGGCTGAGGAAGAAGCGAGTCGCGAAGGGGCGGGGCTGTCCGCTGCGCTGACGTCACTGTCGCGAGCGTAGGAGAAGCGGAGACGCTCCCGGCCTCATTCAGTATGCGCCGTGGGCGATGGATTTAAGGGAAACTGCTCGCCGAGTCCCTTTTAACTCTTTTGCGCCATTTAAATAAATGTGTTTAGACTTCTTTTATGTGACTGGAATATTTTTTTACGTTCCGTTTCACACAAGTGAATGGACTGTAGGGCTCCACTGGACGCGCATCTAAGGTTCAGAAAAAGTAAAAGGTCGCCGGTTTTGCCCATAAGGGGAAAAAATGCAGAAATCTACAGTTGAACAATAATGGCCATCCAAATATCACCAAATGATGCGCATCCTTTTGAATTCTCCACGTTAGGTGAAAGAAGAAAGCAGGAGATGAGGGGGCATAACGAGAACAATGCAACAAAAAGCTGGATTGGAATCATCTGCCCTCATTTTTATTTGTTTGTTTTCACTTTACTGACTGCTTTTTGTACATGTCTCATCCTAGGTGAAGTCCTGACTAATTCTGGTACTATATTGATCCCCACGCCAGATCCTGTTGTTTCTAATGAAGACTTCTGAAGAATTCAGCAGCCTGAACTGTATTTGGTGACATTTTGATTATTCCTTACAATATTGTTGCCCAGGTGTGGATTTTGGAGTTTAAGGTTGCTAACTTGTTTCTGTCCTTGGAGGCTGGGTGTCATCTATACCAGTGGTTCTCAACTTTGGGTCTTCAGATGTTCTTGGGCTAAAACTCCCAGAAGCCTTCACCATTGTTGTCCTGGCCAAGATTTCTAATTGTAGTCCAGGAACATCTGGGATTCAAGGTTGGGAAAAGATGACCTATACAGCTGTGAGTCCACTTCTTCAACTGTGAGAAAGGTAATGCAGCACCTCAAAGACAACATTTGTTGTGCCATTAGCATTTTTGTATGTGTGAAGTGAACTATGAAACTATATACTGTATCACAATAAATGTGAGTCTTTAAAATGCCACATAATGGCTTTTAGTCAACTGCTGCTTTAATCTGAAGCCTTCTTGCACATCTGACTCAAATGGAAAACCAACATTAGCAAATACCTGTAACCATATTCATTTTTTTTCGGATTTCTGTCTCACTGCAAGTAATTTAGAAAATGCAATACTTTGAGAGATGGTTACCTGTGCCCCACAATTTGAATGTCCACTCACTGAATGTTTGCATCTATGAAAATCTCTATTCAAACTTTGGAACCAGTGTAAGAGCTTGGGAGTAGGGACAGCAAATGCAGTCCTCATTCACACTATCCATGCTTTTTGTCCACATGTTCCACACATGAAACACAATCTTGTCCTCATTTATTCAGAACAAAAAGTCAATGAGTTTTGTGGACTTATTCCCAGGTAAGTGAATATAGGATTGCTTGAGGTGAAATCCTATCTACTGTATGAATTTGCTCCACTGAATGCACAGTATTGGGGCCTCTGAACAGCCATCTGGAAACATATCTATACAGGAGCAAGACCCAGGTAAGGGACAAAATACCTGTGATACAGAATATCCTTGATTGGATCCCAAGCATTTTTTTTAAAAGGTGTATTGTGTATTGAGAAAGATGAACCGGATTGTAGCTCCTCTATACTCTCTCCTTATTTTAAATTACCCCTTTCAGATCGTTATTTGTCAAGAGAAGCAAAAGGGAAAGCCAGATGTATTATGGTCAGAATCCTTTTAGTGTTTGTGTAGATTTGTGTAAATTGCTATATCTAATTGCAGGTAATTGATGAGTTACTGAAGCACATCTCTGTAATGTGCCTAGACATATGCTCAGCTGTGCAGCTGAGATATGCCTTGGCATCTTTATTAATTAGCTAAAATTAGCTGTGGTGAGTTATTCAAATTATGTATAAAGAGCAATAGGATTCCAGCTATTATACCCACAATAATTAGCTGATCTAATCTGGTAGTTTTCAGCCTTTCTTATTGGAACCCAACTAATAATTCCCATTTGCACTGCTGGATCCACATTTAATGTTGTATTAATATACATTCATCTTCCTCCACTCTCCCTTTCTCCCTTTCTTTCCCTTCCCATCTTTCTCCTTCTTATAAATTTTTTTAAATAATAGTTTTAAACATTTTTTAAAAGCTCACAATTGTGATTTTGGCTCTACTGTGACCAACCTTCAATTGTCCCATTGGCGTTGTACATATAGATTCACAGCTGAAGTCATGTTGCTAACAAATAGAAACATGCAAAACATCATGAGCTATTACATTTGTGGCCCCAATAGGAATGAATTGGTTATATCTTCTGAATTGTAAGCAGTTGATGAATGTAGAGTTTTGCCTAACCTGGCAATTGTTACAAGTTTATTATCCATAAAAACATATTTCAATTTCAACAATTAATTAAATATAATCCAATATTGCTCACCACAGTAATATATAATTTGACAAAACATGGCTGATTTGACAAGAATATTTTTGCAGGCTAACAATATATATATAGTTAGATATATGTATATAGATATAGTTATCTTTCTTATTAAAGAATTTTATAATGCCAGAAGTCATGCAAAAATTCCAGAGCAGTAAACACAATGGGAACAATCATTTGTTGACATTACCAAAAACATTCAAATACAGAAACAGTAGGCTCTAGATATATACATACACTGTATTGTTTTTGTGGTCCCTTCTTTGTTATATTGAAGCATTGCTCCCACCCCACCGGGTCCTTATTAAAAGGAAAACTAGGATCTGGAGTATTTGCTACCAATACAGGCCACCAGTATAAACTTGAAATTTCTACCATAGATCCTGTAATTAGGCACTTAACCATTGGCTGGAAGGTGTGGGCAGGAGTCAGCAATACAAGAATCTCTCTTGAAAGCCAATATTGATTCACTGGATTGTTTAAAATTATCATGCCAGAACTATCCTCTTTTTGCCAGTTCTCATGCATTGTTCTTCTAACACCCTTTAATGCAGTGGTTTTCAAAATCTGTTCCTGGGGATCTCAGCGTTCCTATAGCCTATAGTAGTGGCTAAATTTTCACATAAAATCTTGCCTGATCTTTGCAAATCTTCTCAATAAGCAATTCCCAATTAGAACAATTACAGGGGACACATTTACATGAAACCTTGCTTGACACGGTCTAGACTTCCCCCAACAAGCTGGAGCTTCAGCGTACTTCTGGTAGCATACTAGGGGTCCTACCCGTTGGCATAATCACCTCAGCATGAGGCCTAAAACACATGCTGTGCAATGATTCTCTACAACATGGAGGGGCTTAATTCCATATTCCAACTGTTCAGGAGGAGCTCCTCAGCAGATGCTGATGTGAAAAGCCTTCACCAACTGTGGAAAAGTTGAAAACCATGGCTTTAGAGTCACAGTTTCAAGGACTTAGATCCCTTTAATGGAGTAACATACACTGGACACCAAACTATTCCAGTATGAATGGAGGCTGAATGTGTCCTCTGGCAACTCTATGGATTACCTCCAAAAGGTCCGATCATTAACAGTCCTGCTTGGGGCCTGTAATCTCAAAGCCATGGCTTCTTTTATTGAGTCTATGCTTTATTCAGTCTCCTGCTAAATCTTCTTCTTTCCCTGTTGCCCTCCACTTTTCCTGACATTATTATTTTTTCCAGTTATTTTTGTCTTCTCATGACACAAGCAAAAATCCAATAGTTTCAGTTTAATTATTTTAACTTCTAGTAAGATGTTATGTCACTTGTTTATCTTTCTGGTCATCCATTGTGTCCTTTCTGTTTAATATGTTCAGAACATAACATACAAACAACAGGGTTAGATTCAGAGGAAAGTACTGAACATTGGTGGAAGAAACATCTGTAATTTAATATACACAGATGAGTCCATATTACTGACAATGACTTGAAATGACTACTGTAAACATTTAGAGAAAAACTGTCAAAAGCAGGATTACAGATGGCTTTTAGATGTGCAGATTTATACATACAAACAAGTTTTATTTTAGAAAACCAAGACACATTGTTTCACTACTTTATTTACCCTGGTATACTCCAAAAAACATTTTGTTCTTACCTTATCCTATTGCAAAGATGCTAAAGGCATGGATAAAACAGAGTACAGGAACTTGAAGCAGACACAGGTAGGACAACCTGAGTCCAGCTTAAGAAGCTATACATGTTTGTGCTGCATGACAATTTAGGCAGAATACAAATACAGCCATTTACTGACCTACCTACAGGTGGAATCCTTGTGATGTAACAAAGCTCATCATTATCGCTTTTCCTGCACGTTAGATTGGATTGACGGGAGTAGAGCCAACTCTAAAGCCACTCTGCTGACTTGTAAATATATGTTAACTGGGATAGACTGGCATAAACTATTTGTATAGGCAAGAATTGACTTCACTGAGGTTGTGACAGCAGCCAGAAAAGGAAGAATCCATAACTCACATAAGTGTCATCTTCATGTTGTCTTGCTATTAGTGAAGTTTCAGAGAAACAGCTGGTGGAAATAATCAGTTAGCAGATAGACCAGAGAAACAGATCTACAATATCCTCATAGCATCCTAATATGACAAGCGTTTAATTCATATTTTTATAATCATTTCTCTTACACATCATTCTTAGCTGTCTTGATCAGTAAAGAAAAAATTATTACATTTAAATCAAAGATCACCCATTCCAAACCTTACTGTTATGTGCTGTCAAGTCAGAACAAATTTATAGTGACCCTAATAGGGCTTTCAAGGTGAGATATTTAAGGAGTGGTTTTATAAGTTCCACAGTCCCAGTAAACTTCCATGGCTGAGCTCGGATTCAAACCCAGGGCTCCTGAATCTTAAGTCACTCTGTCCACTACACTATTCTGGTTTATGGATAACAATTTCCCTATCCCAGGCTATTGTCGCAATATTTTAATCCTTTATATCATAATAGTCAGT